GGGGACCCGCAGCACACTCCTGCACCGCGAGCGGTAAGGAGCTAACCCCAGCCTTCCCCGCATATGTCCCTGCAAACCACAACTGAAAATACCGTCAGGAATTCCCGAAGGAAGGCCCTGCTCCCCTCCCACCACATGCTCATCGCAGGCCCCAGATGGCTCAGCTGAACCCCCAAGCCAGTTGTAACCCTGCCCCCAACTCCTCCTCTTGGCCTTGAGCAGTGGCCTCTTGTGTCCTTATTGAGAACCATCTTTCAAATTTGGTGGGCTTGCCTCCTCAGTGCTCAGGGAGCCCAGCAGGTGGAGATGGGTGATACTGGGCTAGGGGTACTTAGCTATCCCTTTTGGACCAGAATGGACAAATATTACGTCAAGCTTGCGAACAGCACAGGTTCTAAACCAATGAGCTATCCCCGCTGGCATAAGGTCCTCTGAGGAATCAAAATGTCACCTAGGTGACCCAAACCAGGTCTCCCTTGCTCTTTGGGAAGGACCCTGGGCACCCCATCTTTCATTTCATTGCCTTATCCTTGAAAGCAGTGCACCACACCCCAGCAACTCTCCACCCCTAGGACTTACCTGATCACTCCAGTCAATCCTGACTTTCCTCTCCACTGAAACTGTGCGCTTAAAAGCTGCTGCCCACAATCTCATACTTGGAAGAGTCTGGCTTTGTTCTCCAATGGTTTCAAATGCCTATGTTTGACTCCCCCCATGAAGACAAGGTCATCACAAGCAGTAACTACTGCTTTTCTTGTTTTGATTCCCACAGAGCTGAGCATAGATTGATGTAGCATAAGTGCTCAATAAATGCTCTTGGACTTGGCTAATGGATAGACAGCCTCGCAGGGCAGGTCTGCCACATCCAGAGAGAAAGGTGCCCTTTCTCTCCTCTGCCCTAACTGGGGAACTCTAGGTCCTGTGTTCTGGGGGTGTCTCAGAAGCAGCAGAATTTGGCTCTCCCTTTGTCCTTCCTTGCTTCCAGCCCCCTTGGCCTTCAGGATTCCTGTGGGTTTGAAGAGGCCGATGCTTGTGGCTCTTACCAACATCAATTTGCAGTCGCCAGGATGCAACTTCACCCTATGCTGCGTTCATAAATTAATCTCCGGGGATTAGATTCTGTGTTTTTAGTAACACTCCTGAGGCATTGTATTTACACATTAATAATAAAAGAAAAAAGTGAGACAAGTTCTGACAACTTTCAATAACATTCAGAAATAAAGTGTGAGGTGTGGAAGTGTCCAAAGTTAATTAAGACCATTTGGTGCTGACGGGGTGGGGGTGGTGCCTTCCATTCTCAGACAGGTGCTATTTTGAAACCCAATTTCCCTGTCCACAATATACCTGATGCCTGCAGAAAAGGAGATGCTGAAATAAACTGAACTAGCAGCATGAAGTGGAACTTTTGTTTTGTGTTACAGAGTTCAGAATACTTTGCCAGAATTTGTGGAGGGTCTATAGGAAGAAAGAGCCCTTTGGCCCTGCCCTGCAGGGGGCAGATAGTGTGTCCAGACTGTTCATAACTACTTCTCACAAGAGGGGTTCTGAAAGAAATTAAGGGGTGCCCATTCCCTTGGGGATGGACTAGCTTTCCACTCTAAAGGACTTCTAGACATTTAGCTAGGTTTTCATTCCAGAACTGGGAGAATAACTGCTCCATACCTGGAACAAAGAGTCTCTAGGCAGGTCCCGAACACAGGTTATGGAATACAAAGGAGCCTCCCTGCTGAATATTTCGTATCATTATTGTACAAGTACCTGCAAATGCTTCGCGGTTTTTTATTCATTTCCATTTTAACTATTCTCAATTTTAGAGTGGCCTCTTTAAAATATGAAAGGTCTTTCTCTAGGGAATTAGAAGAGGTGGGGGGAGAAGGAATTTTTTTGTTTTTTCTTTCTTTCTTGAGCCCGCATAGATCATATCAGATATGACAGGATACAGGGAAACTTAGAAGGAATGTTCTGGGTACTATAAGTGTGGCTGCTCCCAGTTGTATGTTCTCAGAGATTTTTTTTTCACATTCCCCAGAGTGCTTTGTATTTTGTTTATATAAGGGACAAATGAATTCCTTCCCAATTCCTGGGATTTTTCTTGATTTTTATATTGGGAGTAAAGGTATGAAGTTGGCAGCACTAGTCTTGTCAGCTGCATCCTAAATTGTATCTGATCCTAACACATCCCTCTCAATCTTTAATTGAATCTGTTCATCTAAAAGAAAAAAGATACCAGGGTAAAATAGAAAGAGGTGTGTGGAAGAAAAAATGACCATCATGTTCCCATCACAGCCTGAGATTTCCAGCCTCAATAAGATTTTCAGTGGGTAATCCTAGATCTTGTTTACTATCTTGGACTTCCTGCTCTTGGTTCCAATAGAGGACTTCCAAGTAGCTAGATAGATTTCATCTCTTTTTTGAAGCATGAGAAACAAATACATTTCATAAGGAAAATGAGGCTGGATCTAGCCAGGTGCTTTTATTATACCATTCATCTCTACCTTCTAACCAAGCAGCAAATTCAAAATAAAAAGAAATGCCACATAGGCAAAAACCTTCACAATACAACTGATTCGGTCCTTCGGTGTGGCCTCATAGAAACTAGTCCCTCTTCCAAGTCTTCTGGTTGTCACAATTGCATGCTTGTTTGTTCCAGATTTTAAGGATAGCATTATGAATTCTTCAGATGAAGGTGAGATGTGTTGATGCAGCTGTCCATGGCTAACTTGATAGAAAAAGGAGAAAAACTCAGGAAATGCAAAGGAAGACTGATCAGCTGAACAGAAGCCACCTGCCCAGCGGGCTTGCCTGAGGAGTACACAGGACCATAAAGGACCTGGTTTCTCTCTAAAATCAAGATGGGCAAAACATTCATCTTGCTCACCTGAAGTGAACCAGGGTGGACCCGAAAAGGCAGGCCTGGGTGTTAAGCCAGACAAAATCATGTTGTGACTGCCCTATATACCTGTAAGCTGCCTACTAGTTTAAATTACACCAAGTAGCCCATTCATTCATTCTGAACAGCTCATAATAAGTGTAAGCAGTCTGTGATCCATTATGAAGAGAGGTTTCTGGAAAGAATAGAGGCAGTGGTACAAGTTCAAAGTTGTTAATTAAAGAGATGAATGCAACACACACCATCTTTTAGCTCTTGAGCAATGAGTATAGCTGCCAGGACCACATCTGTCTATGAGAACGAGAGAGGTTGACAGTGAGGAATCTCTTTGAAGCTACCCCATAACGAGACCTACTGTAAGATGCAGCTTCTGAAACCCTGAGATCTCAAAGCCTGTCACTGGCTGTCCCACCACTCTCCTCCAGGATGGCTAGGCCCCAGCCCTTCAGAGACTCACTTCTCAGACTTCAGCATAACCATCTCTACCACACCCTCCATCTAGCAAGACCTGTAGGTCTTGCCAGAAGGAAATAACTATGGAATTGAGTTCACTGGATTCTAGAATCCAGAATCTAGAGGCTTTGTAAACAAGCCCTTAAGAATTGCAGATTTTCTCATCATTTCCAGTGTGATATAGATATTAAGCATGGGGGCTGGAGTAGACTGTCTGGACCTGACTCTTGTTTCCTTGGGCAAGTTACTTAACCTCTCAGCTGTGTGTCAGTTTCCTTATCTGTAAAGTGTGGTTAATAACAGCTGACCTCCCAGAGGTACAGTAAGGTTATTGTGATGATTAAATTAGTTGATTCATTAAAAATTGTTTAGAGGAGTGCCTGGAATTATTATTAATAGTAATAAGCTTAATTTAAGCCCTGCTTGCTAATAAGGAGCTGGATGGAATGCTTAAGATTCTCCTTCTTGGCCTTCTCTTCTCTGAACTAGGTGACCCCAACTTTTTCTTTACCTCTGCAAAATCTACCCTAGCCTGATAAGAAAGAGAAAACACACAAACATACAAACATACACACACAACTTTCCTCTTCCCCCTAGAATTAATAGAGCTATTAGAACATCTACCAACTGACCTTAGAGGGAGAAAAGGGTTTATTATAATTGATAGGTTTATATACTCAAAGCTTCTAATCTGATTGCTATGAACCCTTGTTATCTCCAGTCCTGCCCACCTATGGGAACTAAAGACCTTCAACCTGCAGACTCACGTTGCCCACTTTCTATCCTGTCCTGATGAAGCTTGGTCATTATTTAGGGCCCAAACCCATGTGCAGTTGAGAGTGTCTTTAGTCTTGCTTAGTCCCAGTGGGCCAGGGCTAAACCTCGGGAGACTCCTCAAGGCCCATTGAATTTAGCCTTTCTTCCTGTGATCACAGCTACATTCTGCCCAGTTCAGACTTGCCCTCTAATCCTCTTCTACACTGTTACCAGGCCCTCAACCCCTACTAATTTTAGAAACTTCCATTTTATCTGTCCAATACTAGTCTCTTTTCTAAATAAGTGAAGCATTCTCTTAATACCCAACACTTCCCTGATTCCTGGCTGGGATCATATTTGAAATGTCCAAAGTTCCACCAACACCTATATCAGAAATAATATGTCACCACCAACCTTTACCAAGACTATCACCTTCCCTGGAGTCCTCCTGTGCTGAACTGAATCTGTCAGCTTTCTCTAATTCACTAGGACACTGATTTGGACCACAGGACACCATCACTTGAGAGCCAGCCTCATCACCGAGGTAGACTCCAACAGTCTTTATCCTGTCTGTAGTTAACGTCCTTCTCTTTCTCTATTGACCCATAGATTAAGATGCTACATGCTCTGGGGCCAATGCCTGGAAGTTTTGACAACTAAAAATCAAGTGTTATACATGCAATTTGCCTGAGCTCACCTACTTACTTAACATTTCCACTAGGATGCTTGAAAGACACATCAAATTCAGTAGTCCAAGACCAAACTCACTATCTTCTGCCCAAAACCATACCCCCCTTCCACCCTGATGCCCCTCTAATCGGTTTTCCACACTGCAACCAGAGTGATCTTTTCAAAATGCAAATCTGTTCATCACACACATACCCTCTTCGAACCCTTCATTAGCTTCTCATTCTTGTTAGGATGAAGGCCCAGAACCTTAGCAGGAGCTCCAGTCCTGAGTATATGGCCCTGGCTCCTTTCCATCCTGACCAAACCTCATTCCGCCCCTGTCTTGCACCAGCATCATGTTAGATTTTGGGTACTCTGCAGGAGACGATAACAGTGCCCCATCTGGGCAGCCCAATTGGAAAAGATGCCCTTTGCTCTAAGCTGATACAGTGTCTCCTGGGGCTGCAGCTTGGCAAGGGAACAGGGCTGGATTTCAGCTCCTTCTGCTTCTCCCGCCCAGCTGTGCACCTTTGTCCACAGCACAGCCTCCATGGCAGCCATACCAGTCCCCCTGTCTTTTTTAGGTCCTCTCCAAATGCTCCATGCTCCCTCCTGCCATTTGGTTTTTGCTCAAACTATTTGCTCAGCCTGGGACATTCTATCCCTCTCTTTTTATCTAGTGATCTCCTACTTAACCCACAGATCCCAGCACAAACATCACATCCTCAGGGAAGCCTTCCTGATCTTCCCAGTTTCCAACCATTCATCACGGTTCCCTAGTAGCTGCTAATTCCTTTGTGATACTGTCTCATCAAACAATGCTCCCATTTCTCCCTTCTGATCTGCCTTTGAAGGCTAGCTCATTCGTGTAAATAATGTCTAGCTCCTTATTGTATTGTGAGCTCTATTAGAGCAGAGACCATTTCTCTCTCTCTCTCTCTCTCTCTCTCTCTCTCTCTCTCTTTCTCTCTCTTTTGCCATTAAAACTCCAGGGCCTAGCATATAATAGTTGATCATTCAGGATCTCTATTGAGCACCTATTGAATGCAGGCCGCTACCCAGCAGAGCAGAGATCTGGACTTCATAACCAGAACAACTTAAGCTTCCCAAAGGCATGATTAAGCACGTCAAAGAGGAAAATATTCTGTTCCACTTAATTATGCATTTTATTTAAAAATAGAAGTCTTTATTAAAACAACAAAGCATAAATATTAAAGAATGTATTTAAATAACTTGTGTAATTTACTGCAAGCTTTAAAGGTGCATAAACACTGAAATGCAATTCAATGTCTTTTTAAATCGTTTTCCACTATTATCTCTCTCTAATATCATCTCTTAACCCAAGTTGGAGAAAAAGTAATTCATTCTGACTTTCCTAATTTTGTCTCAAAACCTGCTAAGGCTTGTCCACAACTCCAGTACGTTTCTGGCCTCCCAGGCTTTAGAGCAGACTGTAGCAAAAGCCTTTTTATGCCATTGGCATCTTTGCTCCACTGAGGGAGAGCTCCTGCCGTTTTTAGGATAAAGGTCCTTCTCATAACAGTAAACATTTTGAATATATATCACCCTTGCTCTTTGCCTCCCATCCTGGTACAGCAGGAGGAAAAAAAAAAAAAATCAGATCCTTCATCTTGGTTCCCGTGCCAAAACCCAGTGACGGCCATTCATCACTGTTCCCTAGTAGCTGGCTTTGGAACCTGCTTTTTCTTTGGGTACAGAAACCTTTCAGGGGCAGCTTTGCTTCTTTGTTGTCAGGATTTTTGAACAATAGCTTGATCTAGATACCAGTTAGATGCCTCCCCAACAACTACAGTTCCTCAGAACTTATCCTTGCTAACAAACTGAGCCTGGGGGTAGGGGGGTGGGGGTGGTAATAAAAGAGCTTATAGTCATGTCCCTGCACAAGGTGTAGCCACCTGCCTGTTGGGGATAAATGGCTCATCCCACCCAGGTGGGTCTGCTTCTGAGCTTAAATTTCCCCACAATCTTTTCACATGGCTGTGTATTTACAGTGCGCAGAGAGGGAAGCCTACATGGTGTTGAGAGCTAGAAAATAAGAAGTCCATCCATTCATGGAGTTGCAAAGAAGCCATTAATGCTAAGCTTCGGCAGTGGAACACAGAAAACGGCATTAAAGGATTTCCTTTTTCATGACCATAATTCACAGTTAATGTACATTTGATGTTTAATGTATGAACCAGAGGTGACTTCAAACTTGTGGGCCTTTTCTAAATAGTGTTTTAATCTAAGTTTTTTTTTTTTTTTTTTTTTTTAAGAAAGAAAGAAAAAGAGGTTCATACACTCAGTCTGTCAGACAAGAGGGAGGGGAAAAAAGGCAGAGCTAGGTGTGAGAATCCAATGGGGGAGAAGGCTTTTGTTCAGTCCTTTATTGAGGTTTTACCTCTAATCTCTCCCTTTTTGATGCAATTTAAGATTAAGGAAATGAAAGGCAAGGCTGACTGTGAACGGTTTTACAAACAGGACAGCCAAGGGGCCCTCAGAAGACAGTTTTGTAAGAAGCTTTGGCTTCAGTCCCCAGATAGGACGGAGGTGGGAGGCTCAGCAGCGCCTCTCTGCACAGGGCGCCAGGAAGGCTGGTATGTCTGCAGGGAAGAGGGCCATCAGTCCACGTAGGAGGTGGCAGTGGTCAGCACAGCTCATCAAAGGTCAGAGCCGGGCGAGGGAGACCAAAGAGCATGATCCTAAGAGCAAGAGGTGCCCCACTCTGATGGAAAGAGCCTCAGATTAAACATGCTGGGTCTGTTTGTGACCTCAGGCAAGTCATTTCACTTCTCATACAAGGTTCCTAAGCTAAATTAGAGCCTCCCGATGGGCTCATGAGACCCTGATGCACAAGCACCACCACCTCAAGTGCTATGGAGAAATTGGAATAGAGCCCACAGCACCTCTTCAGCTCCACTGTTTTATAAATAAGATTCCCAGGTAAGAATTCTGGTAAAGGGACTTTCCTACTCAAAGATAAAAATACCTAAAGGTAGGAGACCAACAGATCCCCAGGATCCTTCCCAAGTCTAGATGGATAGAGAGGCAGAAAATGGACATCCTCAATTGTCTCACCTGACAGGTCCCCAAAGCTGCATTTGTAGAGACCAATGTAGGGCAGTACCAGGGAGTCTCCCTGGTATTCAATTGTTCTCTTTCAAAAGGAAAGAGATGATTTTCTCCAGCAACTCTAAACCTCTTTGGGGCAGGTGCAAAGTGGAGCAGGTTTCCAGGTGTTTTGGTTTGGATATGAGGTGTCCCCCAAAAATTCCTGTGTTGACTGCAGGAATATTTAGAAGTGAAATGGTTGAATTATGAGAGCTGTAATCTAATCAGTCCATCCTAGTTTGAATAGACTGAGTGATAACTGTAGGCAGGTGAGGCATGGCTGGAGAAGGTGAGTCACTGGATCCTGACCTGGAAGTGTTCATCCCCCTTTTACTTTCTAACAAGGCACTGAGCAGCCTTCCTCCACTGGGCCCTTCCCCTCACCTTGGGCCCAGAGTCAGCCATCTATGGACTGAGAGCCCCAAATAAACTTTTCCTTCTCTAAGTTGTTTTTGTCATGCATATGATCAAAGTGACACAAAGATGGCTAAAACACCCAGTAAAGATGGTAAAGGGTGACAGAAAAGGTAAAGTGACGATGTGTGCAAGGAAGTCACTTTGTAGAGATGGGACGTGGAAAGAAGGAAAAGAGGGAGGACCTTGAGTAGAGTGGGG